CAAGGCCCCAGGTAATATTTTGCACAGCAAGGTTTACAGAGCACTAGATTGTCTGTGTTACAGTGTTATGGAAGCTTTAGTATTTTTTGTCACTAGCAGCCTCCTTGTCCCTCAAAGTATCTCGCCAGGATTTTTTTTTTTTTTTTCCACTCTGTCACTCAGGCTGTAGTGTAGTGGCATGATCTCAGGTCACTGCAACCTCTGCCTCCCGGGTTCAAGCAATTCTCCTACCTCAGCCTCTGGAGTGGCTGGGACTACAGGCGTGCACCCCCACACCCAGCGAATTTTTGTATTTTCAGTAGAGACAGGGTTTCACCATGTTGATGAACTCCTGACCTCAAGTGATCCACCCACTTCAGCCTCCCAAAGTGCTGGGATTACAGGAATGAGTCACTGTGCCCAGCCCTCACCAGGATCATTTTCTAGAAATCTGGCTAATAAAGTGAGAAATCAAAAAGTTTGGGGCTGCAGTTTATTCTTCACTTTTTTTTTTAAAGTCCAAGATATTATTTTGTCCTTTTCCAATATTATCATTAATAAAAACAAAAGTAAGCATAGCTACAAAAGGACAGAATGAAAGAAAAAAAAAAGCATACTCAGTAGATTATTTCCTCCCCCCCCCCACCTTTTTTTGGATTTGAAGAGCTGCCCCAAAATGCACACACCATTATGACAAATTATGAGGAGGCTGAGGAGAGCTACAAATTGAGTCATTTTGCAGTCTGTTGTTAATGTCGTCTACCAGGTAGAGAGACATGATTTTTCTTCATTTGTCTCAGGGCTATAGTACACTCAGTCTGTTGTGAAATGTTCACAATGAAACCAGTATGGCTTAAGGATGTGCAAAGTGATATCTCTCACTAGGAGATCCAGGCTAGCAGTAGTCGATGGTAATTAGTCCAGGCTCCTACAAAGATGTAAAGGAGCAAAGACCGTTGGCCTGGAACCTGGAGGCTGAATTGACAATGTGTCAATTGTTCTTGCTCTGATCACACATAAGGTTTGGAACTAATTCATGTCTTATTCATGATCTGATTGCTGAAGCTCAGGATGCTGCAATGGTTTTAAAGATTGACAACCTATCTATTCCCACCCAAACTAACCAATATCTGCCTACTAAGTCTTTTGGAGTCTCCAAATTTTACTTGATTTCTAAATATTTCATTATTCCAATAACTTCTTGCCTGATACACATTTTTATTTAAATTTTTTTTTTTTGTAAAATAAACCTTCTCTTTTTTTATTATTTATTCACTTTTATTTCAATAGCTTAAATAGCTGTAGGAGTACAAGTGACTTTTGGTTACGCAGATGAATTGCATAGTGAAGTCCAGGCTTTTAGTGTACCTGTCACCCAAATACTGTACATTACCCCTCCCCACTTCTGAATCTCCAGTGTCCATTATGCCAGTCCCTATGGCTCTGTGTACCCACAGCTTAGTTCCCACTTGTAAGTGAGAACATGCAGTAGTTTGTTTTTCATTCCTGAGTTACTTCCCTTTGAATAATGGCCTCCAGTTCTTCAGATATTATTACATCCAAAGAATGTAATAACGTGCAAAAGACGTTATTACATTCTTTCTCATTTTTAATGTTAAATTTAAAGGAGTTTTAGTGGTGGTGGTGTTTTTCTTTCTTTTATTTTTATTGTTTATTTGTTTATTTTTCTCAGAGTTAAAAGCTGTTGTGTTCAAATAATATATAAAGGAAAGGAGTGGTGAAAAACTAGGTCAAGGGCACACGTTTCTTAAGTAGACATCTGAAAACCTTCTTCCCAAATGGAAATAAAACCTAATTAATGAGTACAGAAATTTTCAAGTTTATGGTCAAGTTTATTCATTTCAAGTTTATTTAATATGAAATATTAAATTGAGATGCTGTGGAGGACACATAGAATTTGAACGTTCTCTCCACTGAAAATATGGACCTAACAACCTAGAGTCCAGAAGGAAGAAAGACTTCATCCCTGGATGGGGTGATGAAGTCAAACGCACACCTTCAAATCGGGGGAGAGCTCATCTTTACAGACTTGCTTTCCCTTGTCTATTTCTCAGTGCTACATTGTCATGATGGGGTATTATTCTATCCAGCTGTATTTACTGATGCCTCTAATGTGCCAGAGACTCTGGGAGCCACTTGGTAAAGAGAAAACAAGGCAGACAAGGTTTCTGCTCTCTTGGTTCTTACATTCCAGTGACTATTGGTTATTATGGTGACAGAAAAGGGACGTGACCTGGGAGAGCCATGATGTTGTAAGATGAAAGGGGTTATGGGTTATACTAATTTTTGTGAATATATTCATGGGACATGGACTTGAGCAATCAGCTTTCCTAGTCTCAAGGTGCCAGGATACATCACAATGCCATAAGCTTTAGAAGATGCTGAAAGACAGAGAGTCTCTGCTTCACTTTTCCCCCACAGAGATCACATGAATGTCACAACTACTGAAGGGACCTCAGGCCCAGAAACAGGTTTCATCTAATTATTAAAACCAAAGGTCTTGGCCGGGCACAGTTGTTCATGCCTGTAATCCCAGCACTTTGGGAGGCCAAGGCGGCAGATCACTTGAGGTGAGAAGTTCAAGACCAGCTTGGCCAACGTGGTGAAACCCCATCTCTACTAAAAATACAAAAAGTAGCCAGGAGTGGTGATGGGTGCCTGTAATCTCATCTACTTGGGAGGCTGACGCAGGAGAATCGCTTGAACCAGGGAGGCGGAGGTTGCAGTGAGCCAAGATGAAGCCATTGCACTCCAGCCTGGGAGACAAGAGCAAAACTCCATCTCAAAAAATAGTAAGAAGAAGAAGAAATAAAAAATAAAACCAAAGGTCTTGAAAATAAAACATAAAGGAGCACTGAATTACCCCACTCCTAGAGCTCATGTTTTCCCCACCTAATTGATACTCTTTTGGTATCCACTTTTAGTGGAGTGGATTCTCACATCTACGCTGCCTTCCATGGAATAAACTGTATCATCAGGTAACCGCAATGGCTGTTATGTGTCAGCAGATACTACCTACCATTAAAGCTCAAGGAATGTTAATGAAAAATATTCCAGCATGCTTTGTAGAATTCACAAACCATCTGAGTAATACTCACTGCAAAACTGAATGTAAAGGTTTGCCTAATCACAAAAAATTTACCTCTCATTTCTTCTCCACACCCTCCCTTCACAGATACCCAGCGCCTGTCCAACTTGCAGCAAGAAAGGCTACATTCAATTGCTTAATAAAGAATTCAGACACATTTTACCAGAGGTTATTCTGCAAGGCTCTTTTGTGTTTTGTCTTCCCACATTCTGAAAAGAGTGTATGTTGAAGGTTGTCGACCATTCTCCCTGAGCCGGCAGCTTTGTATGGACTCAGAAGCCTCGCTGTACTCTCTGACGCAGCTGCGGGGAAGCTGAAACAGTGCTCTTCGATAAATAGGCTTTGTCTGTCTGTGCTGGCAGCAACTGCTCCAGAAAGTGTACACAGGCAATATGCTCCGGTGTATTCCCCATAGGCACTTAACGCTCCTGCACACAGCTTCCAAATCTGTCATCTTTCCATTCTCTTCTCGCCAGATTCCTATTCTCCCTGGCCAGGAACATAAAACAATAAGTTTATTTTCCAGTTTCTGAGCTGCTATGCTCATCCTAGTTTTGTGAATGTTCATTTTCCAGAGGGGAGGATACTATGGGACTAATTCCCCATGGCTCAAGAAATGAAATGCATCTCAATGTCTACAAATGCATGTGCTAGTCAATGGTTCTAAGTGCAAAGATGAAAGATCTTCAGTAAAACCTTGATATGGTTTGGATGTTTTTCTCCTTCAAATTTTATGTTGAAATGTGGTTCCCAGTGTTGGACGTGGGACCTGGTGGGAGGTGATCAGATTATGGGGGTGGATCCCTCATGAATGGTTTAGCACGATCCTCTTGGTGATAAGTGAGTTTTCAGTTAGTTCACCTGGGATCTGGTTGTTTAAAAGTCTAGGACCTCATTCCCTCACCCTCTTCCTCCCACTTTCACTGTGTGATGTGTCTACTCCTGCTTCACCTTCCACCATAATTGTGAGTTTCCTAAGGCCCACAACAGAAGCAGATTCTTGCACTACACTTCCACAAGCCAATGAAACCTCTTTTCTTTATACATAACCGATCTCTGATATTTCTTTATAGTAATACAAACAGACTAATACAGACCTACAATCTATCATCAATAAATTGTAGCCTCTGAGGTCTTTCTGAGCTCTTGGTCATCTTAGTTTCTACCCACTGTGACTGTCCTCAGATTGATCTGAACAATCATTTTATTGAGAAGCTGAGATGGCGTGAGATTAGGTGGCCTGCCTTGGACACAGTTAGTATCCAAGCTAGGATAAGAGCACACATGTCTGGCTCTCTATTTGACTGACTAGATTTGAGTTTCTAAGGCTTCACAGAGAAGAATTTTGAGCTAAGTCTTAGGGCAAATATCTATGTGGTAGAAAAAATAAAATCTGAGAAAAAGTAAAACCACGTGTGTGGAGGCAGGCATGCGCTAAAAGATGGTGCCCTAAAACTTCAAGGAGTTCAGCAATTATCTTCCAAGTAACTTAATTTTAGTCTTTGTAACAGCATCGAAAACACTACATGACCCTCCAAGATTCTTATTTCTCCTTAACCAAAACACTCAGAGGAGGCCAGAGTTTTGTTTTTTCTTCTGCTTTTTTTTAATAGAGATAACATTTCCATAATATAAAACATACCACTTTAGCCATTTTAAAGTATATAATTGTATTAGTTAGGTTTCTCCAGAACGACAGACCCAATAAGATAGATAGGTAGAGAGAGAGAGAGAGAGAGAGAGACGAGAGGGGATTTATGAGGGGAATTGCCTCAGGTGATTACGGAAACAGAGCGGTCCCATGACAGACAGTCTGCAAGCTGGAAACCCAGGAATGCTCACTCTGTCCAAGTCTGAAAGTCTCAGGATCAAGGAAGCTGATGATGTATTAATAACTCTCAATCCAATGCAGATGGCCTGAGAATTCAGGGAGCCACTGATGCATTCTGGAGTCTGAAGGCCAGAGAACCTGGAGTTCTAACATCCAGGGGCAGGAGAAGAAAGATGTTCCAACTACAGGAGAGTGAATTCATGTTTCTTCTGCCGTTTTGTTCTGTTCAGGCCCCTACTCAATTGGACAGTGCCTGCCCACAGTGAGGGTGGATCTTCACTCAGTCCACAGACTCTCACACCAATCTCCTCTGGAAACACCCTCACAGACACATGTAGAAGTAATGCCTCACCAGCTCTCCAGAGCTCTCCAGGTATCCCTTAATCCAGTCAAGTTGACTTCTAAAATTAACCATCACGATAATTCAGTGGCTTTTAGTACATTCATAGGATTGTGAAGCCATCGTGACTACCTCATTCCAGAACATTCCAATCACCTCCCAAAAGAAACTCTACCTATTAATGGGCACTCCCCATTATCTCTCCCTCCAAACCCTGGCAACCATATATCTACTTTCTGTGTCTATTGATTTTCCTATTCTGAATGTTTTATATGAATGGGATTATATAGTATGTGACATTTTATGTCTGGTTTCTCTCACTTAATGTTTCAAGGTTCATGCATGTTGGAGCATATATCAGTACTTCTTTATCTTAATAGTTCATTATAGGTCAACGTAGGTACATATTACATATTGTTTATTCATTCTCTTCATGGACATGGGTCACTTCTATTTTGGGGACTATTCTGAATATTGCTGTTATGAATATTAATATACAGTATCTGTCTGAATCCCTGTTTTAAATTCTTTTGGATATATACCTGAGAGTGGAATTGCTGGATCATATGATAATTCTATGTTTAACATTTTGGGAGACCAACAAACTGCTTTCTACAGCTGTACCATTTTACATTCCTACCAGCAATGTGCAGAGATTCTAATTTTGTCACAATATTTCCAACATGTATTATTATTAATATTATTATTGCTATTCTAATGGATGTGAACTTGTATTTCATTATGGTTTGAATTTTCCTAATGATTAGTGATGCTGAATATCCTTTCATGTGTTTATTGACCATTTGTACATCTTCTTTAGAGAGATGTCTATTCAAGTTCTTTGTGTATTTTTTAACTGGGTTGTCTTTTTGTTGTAAGAGTTTTAAAAATTCCTTAATATTCTGCATAATAAACCCTTATTAAATGTATGATTTGCAAATCTATTTTCCATTTCTATGGGTTGTTATTTCATTTTCTTGATAATGCCTTTTAATGCACAAAATGTTTTCATTTTAATGAAGCCCACTTTTTTTTTTAATCATGTGTTTTTGTTGTCATATTGCTTAATCTAAGATCATGAGAATTTATCCATTTCCTCCTAAGAGTTGTATAGTTTTGGCTTGATATGGTTTGGCTCTGTTTCCCCACCCAAATCTTACCTTGAATTGTAATCCCATAATCCCCACATGTCATGGGAGGGACCTCATGAGAGGTAATTGAATCATGGGAGTGATTATCCCCATTGGGAGCAATTACCCCCATGCTATTCTCATGATAGTGAGTTAGTTCTCATGAGATCTAATGGTTTTATAAGGGGCTTCTCACACTTTGCTTGGCACTTCTCCTTCATGCCGCCATGTGAAGGAGAACGTGCCTGCTTCCCCTTCTGCCATGATTGTAAGTTTCCTGAGGTCTCCTCAGCTCTGGAGAACTGTGAGTCAATTAAATCTTTTTTCTTTATAAATTACCCAGGCTCAGGTATTTCTTGATAGCAGCATAAGAATGGACTAATACATGGCTCTTACATCTAGGAGTTTGAACCATTTTTAGTTCAATTTTGTATATGTTGTAAGATAGAGTTCAATTTCATTATTTGTGTGTGAATATCCAGTTGCCTCAGAACCACTTGTTGAAGACATCATTCTTACCTCATCTAATGGTCATGACATCTTTAGCAAAAATTAATTTACTATAGGCATATTTGTTTATTTCTGGACTCTCAATTATTATTCACTGATCAAAATGTGTCTCCTTATGCTAGAACTACAATGTTTTGATAATTGTAGCTTTCAGTAAGTTTTGTAATCAGGAAATATGAGTTCTCCAACTTTCTTATTTTTTAAGAATGTTTTGACGATTTCGGGTCCCTTGAAATTCCATATGAATTTTAGGATCATCGTCCTAATTTATGCAAAAAAGGTCTGTTGAAATTTTGATAGAGATTACATTGAATCTGTAGATTAATTTGAGGGAGTATTGCCATCTTATCAGTATTGTTTTCCTACCCTTGAATACAGGATCTCTTTCCATTTATTTAGGTCTTTAATTTCTTTTAACAGTGTTTTGTGTGTTTCAAAAATGACTTGTGGTATACAAGTCTTACCCTTCTTTGGATACATTTATTCCTAAGTGCTTTATTTTTTGTGGAATGGAATTTTTGCTTTATTTTTGTAAATGGAATTTTTTTCTTAATTTTCTTCCAGATGGGTCGTTCCTATTGGATAGAAATACAGCTTATTTTGGCATATTAATCTTGTATCCTACAACTCTGCTAAACCCATTTATTAGCTCTAATAATTTTGTGAATGGAAGGGTTTCCTTAAGATTTTCTACATATAAGATGATGCCATCTACAAATATAAGTCATTTACTTCTTCCTTTCAAATCTGCATACATTTATTTCTTCTTGTCTAATTGTCCCGGCTAGAACTTCTAGTACAATGTAAATAGGTGATGGCAAGAGTGAACATCCTTGTTTTATTTCTGATCCAGGAAGAATGTTTTCAGTCTTTCACCATTAAGTATGATTTTAAATCTCTGGATTTTTTACAGATGCCCTTTATTGTACTGGGAAATTTTCTGTGTCAGGGATTGCCAAGACCACTGGCAGGCTCAGTGAGAAGGACTCAAAGACTCATAAGCTGTTACATTCAGAGCTATGATTTATTAAAGCCAAAGGATGCAGATTAAAACTAATTAAAGAAAAAATGCATGGGAAACGTCCAGAAGAAACCAGATGCAAGCTTCCAGTTGTCTTTTCCTAGTAGTATCATATGAACATGTTTAATTCTCCCGACAATAATTTATGCCAGCACGTGCAGAGTGTCACCAACAAGGGAAGCTCAACCAAGCCTTGCTGCCTAAGATTTCTAATGAAGTGTCACTCTTGTTGGCATGTAGCAACTACACAACAAAATCTCAGCTACTCAAGTTCCAGCCCCTCAAAGAAAAAGAGAAATTCACCGTAAATCACATTTGTTAACATAAACTATCTCATCAAACTGGTACTGCATGGCCCAAGGCCACAGACATACAGAAACAGGTGTTCAATATGAAGCACATTTGTTAGCCAAGGGCCAGTCCTGAAGACAGCTTCTTCTTGGGAATGTGCAGTATTTGGCTAAGTTTATCATTTCCCACACAATCTCTCTCACTCTGGCTCTTGGCATGGATTCTCTTACAGTAAAATGATCATATTTGGGGAGCATCTGCATTTGATAGAGCATTTGTATGCCTGATATAGCAATTGCATCAGCATGAATATGCCTAACATTTGAAGGAGTCAGTTTGGAGTAGAGACAGACTTAAGGAAAAATCCGTTCTCTAAAAGGATTACATACATTTTCTTATTTTCATACTAATTTGATTATGCACTGTTCTCTTGATATACCATTATTGTGCCTTGTGATAAGCTTGTGCAGAACGATTTATTAAATAAATTACTTTTGCCCCAACTTCTATTTGTAATAGAATACAAATTAGTTGATGGTAGTTAAATCCCGTTCTTTCTTGGGTCGTTCACTTTCCATTGTATTACATCCTGAGGAGGCTTTACTTCATATCTCCATGTATTTGATTATCTGGTATTTGATAATACTGGTATTATCCTATGACTTATGTACACATGGTAGTTGAATCTAACCCAAAATGCCAGTGTTGCACGATATTACAATATAGTTGCAGCACAATCCAGTTTTAATACAGAACAAATCAGTACAGTTTTAACACAGAATAAATCAGTAAAAATTACAGAGATATTTCCCTTAACAGAATCAGACTTTGGTCATATGCCAGATATGATGGATAATTGTTACTGCAATTAGCCCACGATTCAATTATTTCTGGGTTCCAAGACAGTTAGGGATAAAGCCAATCACTTTGTCTCAGTTAACAGAGTTGTGCCACGACTGGTATCAATTGTACGCTATTGTGTAATGGGGCCCACTTGCCTCCTATGAGGAGGAAAATAGTGTTATTAAGAATTGTTATTTTTCTTGGTAACTGTACTACAGAATATATTTTATTCTGATGTATTATTGGAGTGAGTACAATCAGAGTGCATCAGTGCAAATTGCAAGTGCCCTTAGAGGTTTCCCATGAATACAGAGGTCCATGAGATTCCCATAGATGTGCCCTTTGTAGCCAGAAAGGGGAGCCGTTGCACTATGACTATTTTGTCTTCCACCTTTATTAACGTAGTCAAGAGGTCCTGCTGGGTCAGGGTACTATCCCTTTCCCAACACTGGGTCCTAACTTTATCCACCATTATCTGTGGAGCCTGCATGACCCACTTCACTAAATCCCCATCTTCTTTTCATGCTTATCCCAATCCTTTGCTTATTCCAATCCTTTGCTTTTAATCAGCCTAATCTAGTTAAGAACTCTTCCTCTAAATGCCACTCCTCATTAAAAGCAAATTCAGCTTGGTGGGGTGCAGTGGCTCATGCCTGTAATCGCAGCACTTTGGGAGGCCGAGGCAGGCAGATTACATGAGGTCAGGAGTTCAAGACCAGCCTGACCAACATGGTGAAACCCCGTCTCTGCTAAAAATACCAAAAAATTAGCCAGGCATGGTGGCACATGCCTGTAGTCCCAGCTACTCGGGGGGCTGAGGCATGAGAATTGTTTGAACCCAGGAGCCAGAGGTTGCAGCAGTAAGCCGAGATCGCACCACTGCACTCCAGCCTGGGCAACAGAGTGAGACTGTCTCAAAAAAAAAAAAAAAAAAAAGCAAATTCAGCTTATCCCATGATGCTTAGTCTGCCACTTAGCTCTCCTAAAGCCCCTTTTCTGTTAATTAATCCATTATGAATGTTGTTGACATTGTGTACTAGTGGTCTCAGTACAGTTAGAATACATGTTCTGGACCAAAAAAAGTTGCGTCTTCCTTATTAGTATCAGTCTCTCTCTCTCTCTCTCTCTCTCTCTTTTTCTCTACGCTCACATAGAGAAAAGACCGTTTGAGACTATGGTGAGAAAATGATCATCTGCAAGCCAAGGAGAATGGCCTTACCGGAAACCAATACTGCTAGCACCTTGATCTTGGAGTTTCAGCCTCCAGACTGTGATAGAATAAACATCTGTAGTTTTAGCCATCCAGTCTGTGTATGTTGATATGGTCGCCCAAACAGACTAATACAATTCGCATCTATCACTAAGTATGCAAAGCCCAGTCGAGATCAAATGTCTATCCACTGTCAGGACCCATTTATAGTTTCCCAGGGTTACTGGTAGTGATCCAGTGATTTCTATGTGCTGAATATATGCAGGGCCTTTCCCCTGGAGGTCTGTCTCATAGCCATCTACAATTTCTATCTCTTAGGATGGTACTTTGCTTTTAGAAGACAAGAGAGGAATATATCGATAATCACTCATCTCAGCATTACTGCAGAAACCTCATGTACACTCATTTCTGGATCTAGGTGGCCACCTAAAGGGAGTGCACCGGGATATCCTGGTTCTAACTGGTTCCAGTGCCTTTTCAATTAAGATTATTTTGATAGAGCATTTGATAGAGCATTTATATGCCTGATATAGCAATTGCATCAGCATGAATATGTCTAACATTTGAAGGAGTAAGTTTGGAGTAGAGACAGACTTAAGGAAAGATTATTTTGATGAGTATCTATATGTTCTACTTTAATGTATCCCTTAAATTCCCACAGAGTGATTTATATCAGGACCGTGCTCTATTCAGGTGTCCCTTTAATAACTCAGTTTT